AACAAAAGGTTAACTAAAACCCCCAACACACATAAAACCCTCCACCTTTATGAGTATATTATTCTGTTATACCCATAAGGAGGATATACATGGGAAAGATATGATGGGTCCACTTCTGTGATTGCCCATTTTACACTTGGAATACACTTGAATCTGCAGAAAAGACTTGTTGTCACAATGCCTGGTGAGAAGTGACTGCATTACTGCCCTGACCCTGTCTCTTAATATTTTATTTGGAACTTTGTTGTTTCTGCCTCTTCCCTGCCACACGTATGAGCGATAGGTCTTTGTAAAGTGGGGTTTCCTGCATGTGACTTTGTGTAATGTAGTTGTTCTTAACCAGTGAGAACTTTGGGGTAATTTTTCTGAACGCTCAAAATCAGAAACAGAAAGCAAGAATCGTTGAAAAATTCCATGCATTAACTAAATATTATTCTGGGGAAAAGGCATCTTCATATTTTTTGCTTAGGGATTCTCATCAAACATGTGTCTTGCATTACCTTTCACAAAATATTTCTTTGTTTTTGCTCATGCTAAACAATCAGGAACAAATTTGGCATGTAGTTTGTTTACTGCTCAGCAATGAGCGCTACTCAACAATTAGAAAGTTTGTCCTAGACTTCGGGCTGCAGATAATATCTCTAGCTTCCTTTTTATTTATTTTTTTAAAATTTGTTTAAAGCAGAGTTCCAGAATCCAGACTAAAAAGGAGCTGTGTATTGTGTCTGAGGCTTTAGATCTTGTAGAGATTGGATTTATCGAACTTTTGTTGTTCTGCCTTTAAATGGCGTCACTTGTCTGTAGCCTGTAGGTCCAGACTATGCAGCTGATTTATTTTATTGTTTTACTTTTAAGTGTGGGAATTGCTTTAGGCATTTATGCTAATATTCATATTTTCTGAATTAGTGTTTTATTGTTACATCCATTCTATTGGAGGAAACTCTAGTATTCATGCAATTGACTGCAATGGGAATGAACTGCATAATAGAGATTAGTATAAAAATTGACATAAACCCTACATTTTAAATAAAAATCAAGAAAGTTGGTAGCTGCTATGTGAAACTACTTTATCTATTGCAGTTCTGTACCCATTCACCTGACGGTCATGCACTTTGTCACCCTTTTGATACCATCATGGTTCATTCTGGCAGCAAAGATAACTTACTCTTCATATGGACAGTAGTTTTTCTGTTTTGTTTTGCTTCTAATCACTGTCAAGATGTGGCACTCAGCAATTAATTATTCTCCTCAGCTCACTTTCAGAAAAAGCAGCTTTTTCCTGTTAACTTTTAAGTCAGGACTTGAAAGGATGTACTAGGTCACTAAGTCTGGTCCTGCTCCCTGGACAGGAATCATGTTCTAGCCTGCATGACAACAGTATAGCTAATTTATTTGCTTCCTTTTTCCCTAGCATTGATCCCCTTGTTGTATCTGTAAGCCTGATCTTAGTAGCTCTCTGAGCTTCAGAGTTCTGATCGAAGATAGAAACTGTGATTTCAGAATTTGAAGCAAACATAATAGTAAATGGGTGATAAATTAGAAGTGGGAGAGTCCCAAGAACAGATTCCAACTCACCCCTGTTCTTTAGGCCTCCAGGAGGGAACAGTGTAGTTCTGCTTCCTTTAGAAAGATCAAGTTGGTTCTAGGTAGGTTCACACCTGAATGCAGTTGTAATAATTTTTTTGTGGAAGACCACTTCACAAAGTTATTTTGCTCTCTATTTTCTTCTTGTGTTTAGTTTTACTCCTGGAGAAGATAGTATCCTGCATCAGTTCCATTTCTACTCCATTTTTGCAGAATCTGAGGGACAGGAAGTGTACAAGCTTATTTCAGATGAGCTCTTGCCACTCTGTGTGACAATTGTTGTTTTCTGATACTACTTTTGTGATGAGTTTGCATTTGGTTTTTAATTCACTTTATTTGTTAGCTTTGGGATAGTTTTCTATGTCAAAATACAGGCAACAAAGGACTCCCACTATACGCTGACACCAGCAAGTTAGTTATGCTATTAATACAAGATGTTTCAGACTTGAGCAATAATGATAGGAGCTGAAATCAACAGTTCCCCCAAAATCTTCTTTACCAAATCCAGTATTTTCCATGTTGTTGGAATACACAACTTCAGGGTGAAGATTTTTAATTTTTTATATAACATACTGTATTGTTTCTTTTGTTGCTGTGCCTTTCCTGCCGGTATGGTTTGGTAGCAACATCAGTTGAAAAAATTCTGTTCTTTTTTGAAATTTTGTACACACTTTTTTGATAGAATGGAATATACTTGTTTGGTGGCAATTACAGATTGCAACTTAATAGTTAGAAAGATCTGCTCCATACCTTGCTACCCAAGATCTACTTTACTTTGTAATCCTTTTGCAGCTGCAAAGAAATGAATCAATAACAGCTTCTCTTTACAAGAAGAAAATCTCATATTGACCCAGCTTTATCTCAATTCCAGGCTTGAATGAATTTTTTGTTCCATTTAAAAAGATATTTAGAGTGCTTATAGCCTATTAGAAGACTAGTGCAGGTTGTCCTAATTGCATTTTTCTGAATTACATGAGTTTTACATTTGAATTCAGAAAAATCTATCCTATCCAGGATTTCAGTTGACTTAAGTTTTAAATTCCTAATAGTATATTAAATGGCTTAAAAAATTACGTAGGAATTTCTTGCTAATTTTTGACAGGTGATACCAGTAGCCATGTCTTGAATTTAGGTCTTTAACTTTGTGAACATCAGTTATGACATACTGTTTTCCACTGTTAAAATTTTTGGTTGATGGGCAGTATTTTTGATGTTGAAGCATTCCACCCCAAAAGGGAAGTGAACACACAGGTGTGCAGATGCAAAAAGGAATGACAAAAGTCAGAAGGTCTGTAAAATCTTACAGAGTTTTATTAGCAAATGATACATTTGTCATGGAAACTGCTGTGTTATTTCCTTATTTTCCAGGATAAGCACACAGTGGTGGGTTTTGAATAAAGAGGTAGAGTGAGTGAGAGAAACTGGAAAGAGGGAGGGAAAAAGATCTGCCCTTGCTCCAGTGTTGATCCAGCTAATGGGATGTCCAGAGTCCTGGAACATGTTTACCCAACTTTCATGGGGCTACCTAGCTCTAGATGAGCTTTCCCCGCCCTGGAGATGTTTCTTACTTTCTGTGCGTATCAGTTATCACGCACAGTTCATTCCTCTAGACCTTTCTGGAAACTGGTTGGAGGCCTTTGGAGGGGTCTCTGGTGTCTTGATCCCTCTCTACTGGGCAACAATCCTTTTTTTCTACCTCATTCCTGCATGTGCACTGTACCATGCTGTGCTTTTCTGCAGGAGCCAGAACAAGGATTTCTGTCCCAGAAAATTGCTGCCCTGCCCCCATAAGGCCCCCTTCTCCAGCCACATCCTGTTAATTCTTACAGCATGCTATTACCGAGGATCCTTGGTTGACCACACAGCCATCTAACTGTTCATATTTGAGACATAAAAGACATTAATCCCTTATCTTCAGGGCTTCTACAGCTGTATTTTCACTCCTTTGCAGCTAGTTTGGCATCTGTGAGAAAAGGGGGAATGAAATATCTTCATAATCAATGGTTATGAAGATTTAAGAGAAAAAATTAAAAAAAACCCCGTTGGCCAGCCAACCACATCCTCAGAAAACCTATACTGTAAGTACAGTGAGTTTCTCAAGTTTCCTTCCCTAAGTAGTGCCAGTGGCAGAGGTCAGGGTCAGGCTTTTTCTTCTCCTCTACTGTTCAAACATCAGTGTACAGACCTATATCTGAAAATGTAAGTGAATCAAAGGTGGCAATGAATCAGTGAATCAGAGGGCAGACATCTTCTGGGTACTTTTTTGAATTTTTAAGACGTGAATTGCTTAATGAAATTCTTTACTCTAGCTAACTTAATTCTACTTTTGCTAATATATTTTCTATTAATTAATTAAGTTTTAAATAATTTTGCCAGTGTGGTTGTAGATAACACAGCCTCTTGGTGCTATAACTGTAGCAGAGTAATTTGAAAAAATACATATATTTCTGAAATGAGCTAGAAGTTTTAATAATCTGTCTTTTCTTTTTTCCTTCAAGTGACTCCCAAAGGTTTTTATCAGTGTGTTTAGTACAGTGTAGAAATCAGCAACCTGAGTAAATATTAACCTCTTTCTTCTTGTGCAATGGCTGAATCCCAAAATTGAAAATTATTTCATCTAGAATCATGTTGTTTTACAGATAAGAGTCCTCTTCTGGCATTACTTGTTTCTCCAAACAATGATATAAAATTTACATCTAGTTGAATTCAAATAACTTAGAGCCCTGTGCAAGAAAGTCTGTGAATTACATGCTGCTTTTACGCTTGCAAAACCAACATGTATGAAAGCCTATTTTAATCACTGTTTTTAACCTCGTAAAGCAAGACATTTTGATGGCTTGATTTTGGTTTGTTTTTTTTTTTTTTATTTTGAAAACAAAAAAGCTTTGTGACCTTTCATAATCCTTAAAGTGATCAAAAAAAACCCCAATGTGTACGTGGTTATTTTGATTTTAAAATAAAACTCATATTGGCGCCTACTACGTCAAACATTCAAATGAAATACAAATTCTCACAGTTTTAGCTTACATCAAAGATGGAAATCATTGTGTGGTTTTGGAAACCAAAGCGATTCCAAGATAGACACAGTTGGATTTTTTTTTTTTTTTTTATTTGACAGTGTGTTTCATACACTTAGCAACATCAGTGTGAAGTAAAGTGTGCATTCTAATGAAGAAGGAAGACTAGGGGAACCTTTATAGGGACTCTTTCAGGATTAAATCCACCTAGGTGACAAAGTTACATAGACTTGTAATGGATTTATACAGCAGAAGAAATCTTTAAGAATAATAAATTTGCTTATTTTTGGATATGTATATAGACTGCAAAGAACTGTTTCTTGAATATGTCATTAGTAATGCAAACTATCTCGTACATCATCCTGCATAATATAAAAATACTTGTGTTTCTTTTGGCAGGTTGTCAAGTTGTTAAGTAACAAAAGATCTCAAGCTGTTGGAATATTAATGTCTAGCCTCCATTTAGACATGAAGGACATTCAGCATGGTAAGTGAAAAAACTATTGATTATTCTCAGATCACACAATTATCTGGAAATGTTAAGTATTTCTAGATTTTGATATATAAAATAAATTAATATGAGGCCTTTTTTACACTATTTTTTCTGAAAATAGCTTGTTCTGGCATTAATATTCCCCTTTCAGCATCAGCTGTGTAAGTGGTATATAATACAGACACTGATTTTTGGTCTTTTGAGGAAGAAAGAATGATGTTTTGTTTATTTTAATTCAGATAACCTTGGGGCATATCCAGAAAAGTGACTTATAATGTTTAATTTATTTGTTTTATAAAACAGTTCCTATTATTTGGGTTAACACAAACTGTGGCGTTCTTTCATCTGCAACAGCATTTTTTACAAAGCGAGATCTTTTAGAGGAGTGTAATACTTTTCACATTTATGCTAAGAGACAGTAGTGCAAAAAGGTGAAAAGTGGAATTGCATTTATATTCAGAGCATCCCTTATGTTTCCCAAAGGCTTTGGACAGATTTGAAGCAGATTGAATTATCCTGTGAAGTGCCAGCCTATCTATTAAATAAATGTGGTTTCAAGTATAACACAGGCTTCATAAATCACAAAAACATCTTGTGAACTTTCTAGGCAACATATTTACGGCCATGCATTCAGTTTACTACGAATTGCTTATTTTGCGAAATTATTCGTAAATAGAACAAATTTGCGAGCACGCTGTCAGCTAGTGAGTAACTCGTAATCACAGTTTTAAGGTTTTATTAAACTGTTTTGATGGTTACTAGACTTCCTCAAGCTGAAGCGCTTAAGATGGTAGTCATAGAGCAAGGCGCCAGTACTGGCGCCAAGAAGTACTTGGTATTTCCAAAGCTGGCAGATGTAGTTCAGTTAAGTCATAGAGCAAAATCTGAAAACAATGATATGGTCCTTTCCTTCAGTCAAATATTCAACTTGGTTTCAGTTAATAATGAGAACCTTATGAAAAAAGGAGTCCGCCTAACATCTGTGTCTGTGGTAAAGCCAACACAAGTTCATTGAAAATTTGCTTGCTTAACATGCAACACTAACAATAACATGGCATGAATGTCAGTAGTTGAAGGGGTCAAACAATATTATTCTTAACCTTTATCCTATTACAATATTAAGCACACATGATCATCTAAGAGCTGTGTGCAGATTTTGTATATTCCTCTTTCAATAGCTGTTTTCTAAACCCCAAAATTTTTGCAAAAGGGAATTTAATAGTTCTTTTATTCCCTTGCTGTGCAGAAGTGAATGAACGAACACGAGAACTTTTTTCTGGTGGTGGAATTTGTGAAAATAGCTGGTGCTAGAATTTTTTATTTTATTTTATTTTTTTATATATTTTTAGGAACATAAAACAGGCATGGAGAAAATGTGGTGAGGAGCAGGAAATAAATTTGCATGGTGGGGGCAAGGAAAATAGATATTGCCCAGAAGTATTTATGGCATCAGTCACCCCATGCAGAGGTCTCTAACCATAGAGCTCATGCCGAAATTACAGAATTACAATCCCGAGTATTTAGCTTTACCTTCATGTACACAGCGTTGTTAATTCCTTATTAAAAACAAATGTTTTACATATTTTTCAGTGTTATAGCATTTAGGATTTTCTGCTGCAATTTGAATGTACTAACAAGAGTGTACTAACAAAAATTCAGAAAATGATCGAGTGCCTGCATTAACAAAAATAGTCAGTTGATGTATTTGCATCTTTATACATTAAGTTGTATGACAATGAATACAGTAAAAAATGTGATCAGTGTTCTTTGTCCCCTGGTCCAGGGCTTTAGCAGTGGTCTTGAGGTTTTTCCATGTTTGAAGTACACAGACGTGTAAATTTACACATATCTCAGTACCATACAAGCAATTGTTTTCCATAAACAAGGAATCCAGTCAAATGAAACTTTCCCCCACCTCCCTACTGAGAATTTGTGGTGCTAGGCAACTTGCAGCTTTCTTGTAAATATTCCTATATCAAATCCTATATCAAACATAAAGCATATTTTTAGGATGCAGTGTTCATGCAAATCACAGAAATGTAGTTTTGTTTTTTTACTGGCCTCAGAAAGGCACCCAGAAGGAGAGAGAAACTTTCCATGCTGAGGGATATTCCATTTCCTGTTTTGCAAGCTCACTGTGTTATATTTTTCTGGTGCTTTTGAAAAAATTTGAAGTTCTACATGAGCAGAAGGGTAAATAATTATGCTGGGTACTAATCCACCTAATAAATTTAGGATTTCAAGTTTTAAATCATATTGTGTTTAGACAAAGACCTTAAAATAATTTGACCTGGTCAAATGTTGTGTTTAATGTCTTGTAAAATATTTTGTTCTTTAGTTGGTGTGTTTGGTGTAGTTCTGTTTGCTTTTTAAGATACAAAATAACGATGAAATATTGTCTGCATATCTGATCAGGTGTGGCATTTAATAGAAGATCTCAGTATACTGTAATACCTCTTAAACAGATTTCTTTTATTATATGGTTGTAAAATGTCTGCTTGTAGAATTGCATTTGTCTGCTTCCAGCTTTGGAAATAGGTTTAGTAAGACAAACACCCAGAGCCTGTCTGCTTTTAAAATATTTTTACAGTGTGGAAGGAGTAGTTGTAATAATCAGAGCATGTTTCTTCTGAACTCTAGTGTATCTTTCTAGTAGTGCTTCAGAGTTTGCTAGGTTAATTCTTGTTGTTGTGGGGACTTTTTTAGTAGATTCTAATTGCTAACAGAACTCCCATCTACTTTATGCAGACAAGGCTAGAATTGTAAGAAATGTTGGTCTCTTTAGTTGCAGTGCCCTTTCTCTGTTATTAGCACAAAAATGAGTATTCGTGGTTTCTCTGATTTCACACAAGGTCTTACTGATGCCTGTTTTTTTTTTTTCAATCATCTATCAACTATGCAAAACACTTTATCCAGGCATTTTGCTTGCTTTTGAATTTTCTCTATACCACAAATATCCTTTATCCAGTATTATGTTCCCACTGGAAATATTGCTGTATTTGGCTGCATGATATGGCCAAAACTTGAGAAATACCAAACAAGCACTTCTTACCTCTTTTTCCTCTATAGTTCAGATTTTCTTCCTAGAGAAAAGACTTGAAGATTAACATCAATATTTTGGAGGGGTTTTTCTTAACATTTCAGCGATGCAAAGTGTGCTCAGATTAGGGATACAACAAGATTCTGGTGTAACTGCATAGAGTAACCTATGATGAACACACTGTACATTAAAATATAATTGCACATTAAGCCTGTGTCTGCATTTAGGGACCGTGTGTCGTAAATATTCAAGTTGTCTGTCAGCACTTGAAATACAACAGTTTGAAATTGCAGCCATGATTGCAGGTAATAAGTTTGTCAGTGCCTTCCCCAGTCCCCTTATTTATAAAGAAACAGTGTTATCTTCCTCTGTGTTTACAACTGGTGATCAGTGCTGTAAGAATAGCAAGTTCTTCTGTGTGTGTATAAAAATAGAAGGAAAAAATTAAACTGAAGATGTCAGCCAGGAAAAAAGGAAAATTTGGTATGTTGTGCAGCAAAATATTAAATTTATTACACAGTGAGGTTTTAATCTAGCATTTATTTCATATATGGAAATTATTCCTTGGCATGTGAAAATTGTCTTAGTTCTAAGCATGCCTTGTAAATGTTGAAAGTAAAAGTTTCCCAAAAATGGCATATGCAGTTCTTTGTCCTTTGAAGTTGTCTGTTATCTTTTCCAATTCATTAAGTTTCTCTCAACAAGGTTTGTCACTCCAGAAGCTGTGTTGTTATAATACTCTTAATTATTTTTCTGTAAAATTTCGCATAGCACCTTGTGGTTTCCCTGGTGCTATTGGAAGTAGTTTGGAAATTTCTGGCTCTGAATTATGGATTACTTCTCATTTTCCCCATTTAATAAGTCATTTTGTCCCCCTCTCTGAGACACTGGTAGTATGCACAACTTGATGGAACTACCTGTCCCACTCTGATACCTGCAGGGGGGAGAAGAAAGTAAAGGCCAAGACACTATTGCAGGCCTCAAAAAAAAAAAAACAACAAAAAAAAAATTAAATAGGAAAAACAATTACAGAAAGGGCAGGAGGATTCACCTAACAGCTGGTAAAAACCAACCTTGTAATCATGACTTGAGCTTATTTTACTGGAAGTTATATCTGCAGCAGAGTTTGTTCTGCTAACAGCAGTACAACTTTGTACAACAAACATATCTTCTGCCCTGAATTCAAGACAGATGTGCAGGAAGTGAACATACTTTAAATGTTAGCAAGAAAAAGAAATGTTTATTCTTTAGTATTTGAGTATTAGTGACAAAAGAACAAGAGAAAAAATCGGGTTTCTTTTCTTACTTGACCACTCATGCTGACATGTAGAAATAATGAGCAAGGAGAGACTTTGTCAAAGGCTTAACTAAATTATTTCACTAGAGAAGGATGATAAAATGTCTCTTACACTGCATTATTTCAATGTTCTGAGCAGGATTTATTCATGTATTGAACTACCACAGAGTCTGGGTCCAAGAGATGCTCTAAATGGAAAGCAATCAGGAGAGAATGACTGAACATCTGGGAAATAAGACTCAGGATTAGTTTATTTTATAAAGAGTCCAAAGGTGATCTGAGCATTATTTATCCTAACAACGTGTGTGCACAAGCCAGTCATTTGAAACTTAGAGTACCCATTCTCCACAAATATTTCAGTACATTCCTAAAAGACATCTTGTTGATTAAACAAGTTATGAGGACAAAACAATTCATGATTGGATCAAATTATCTGGCCACTTAATAGCTCTATAGTCTACTCTAGTTCTCATATTAGAAAGTATAAGTAAATCTGCTGCCCAGAATTGTTATTTCTGGCCATTTAAATTATGGGGGGAAATGTTGGCTGTAGGAAGATATGCAGATCCTTTTTCTGTTAGCTGGCAAGTCTGTATCTCTTTATTAAATTAATGATAAAGTGATTGCAATTAGTGCAGGTTAATTACAAAGTCTGAA